GGCTGACGGAAACATTTGACTGTCCTGTAACACGGGACAAGATGGAGAGAATCGTTTAATTTGAGAGATAAGGCGTGGTTTGAGATCAGGTTTAGGTTTAAGTTGGAATACGGGTTAGCATTAGGCTGGAGGTTTGGGCAAAATTGTATTTTCCCCAAAAGTCCTGAAAAGCCAACTGTGTGTGTGTTTGTGATGAAAACCTAATGCTGATCCAAACAGGGAGGATGTGATGGATTTCAGGGTGTCTATCAATAAAGACTAAGGCGAGCAGATTTGTTAAATAATTTCGTAGTAACCATGGAGACCGAGGGATTACACTGATGAGTAACCTTAGAGCGAGGGAAAGGAGATTTGGTGAGGATGATTTAATTATAAGACTGTCATGGAGTTAATTGCCTGAATCAAAGCCTATGGAGAACTGAAAGTTGTGTGTGAGGAGCATCAGAGTTTAGGTTGAACCCACTGGTGTCATCATTTCTTATTCAATAGAGTACAATAATCTCAATTGCTCCTCCAACAAGAAAGTAGGGTTTGAGAGGCTTGTACAGAAAGACTTCCATGTCTTCTAAAGTTATTCCATGGTCCTGGAGTTTGAATTATCTTTACAGAAAGCTAAATATTCATAATCACCTATAGAATCAGTTTAAAAGAAATCTTTGTTGCTCCTTGTAGCCCCTTATCAGCACTATCAAGCATTTCAAGCTCAGAGAATGGCTCATGCCTCAGTGATCTATGCAAAGGAGATAAACAGTGCGCAGACTGCATTAGCATTGCAGCACAATCAATGCTGGCTACGTTATTTACTGCATTCCAAGTCAGGGATTTTATTGAAGAATATGGGCTCATGAAGTACAACTTTATTACTCTGATAAATGTGTGAATAAGTATATTCTTGCTGTCAGACTCCAGAGTAAGCCTGCTGCCAAAAGTGTTTGTAACGTATTAATTGAAGGTTGATCTGGACTGTTGTAGACTAAGAAATAAGATAAGAGAGCGCACTTCCCATATGGGACACGCGTGTAACAATTAAACAAACTTGCTAGATCTCCATAAGGAGCGAGCTCACTGAAAAAGAACAATAAAAGTCCACACTGCTTGAGTTTTGTAGAGTCAATAAAATGCTGTTCGGAGCTTTTTCAGTGAAAGGCTCTCAATCTTGAAACAACTTACCAGCTGTTTAAAATCCCACTCAGCCATTCCAACACATAAAAAACAAACTGTAACATATAAGCATTTTTGGTTGCACATAGTTCACCAATAAAATATTAAATTATGCCACAGCTACATAGTAGTAAGGGAATTTCAGTTTACGTTTAATGCTGGAGGATTTTTTTTTTTTAATAACAGCAAAGAACAGCTTTTCTCGATGGAAAATAACTTTTCTTGACTTACTTCGGCAAGAGAGTGAGTTCCAACCTGCCTCCCCGTTTGATTGGTTGAAGTTAGCTTGTGATAGACAGGGTGTCCATCTAAACCCTGCCATGTACTTAACATAACACTTTCCAATCACGTCTTATCAGATGGTTCTGTATAACTAATCGAACAAATAAACCAAGCAAACAGGTCTGCATACACCACCTCCTACTATGCCCAAAACATTTAATCACACTGGAAACTAAGGCTATCATGACAGAGGGAGGGCGGTGAGTCAGCATGGGTGGAAAGTGTGTGGGAGTCGGGGTGTGAGTACGTGGGGGCCCGGGGTCCTGGAGTCGGCTCTCCACTGTCATTATTGTTTCCACACACATATTCACATGCATGGCAGCAAAATTAGATGTATCAGAGAGACAGATTGGAAAGTGTGCCTATGTTTGAGTGGTTGCTCTTGTGCATGTGATTCAGAGCAGGTTTCTCTTGCAGCCCTCCTGCAGTCTCCAGCTCCTCTGCGCCGTGTGGACGAGTAAAATTACCCCCATACATCTTGCGACTGTGACATATTGATTGTGTGCTGAAGGGGAGGCCATCGTCTCGTCTGCGGTGTTATTGTCTTTTCTGTTCCATTTAAGTGTGTGAGGTCACAAGTTTGACAAGGCAATGTTAAAAATTCCTGTTTGTTTTTTTTTCTAATTCAGTTTTGCGCGTTTAAACTCATTGGAATTCTCTCTAAATCCCAGACGATCGCCTGAATTCATGCTTCATGTGAACAAGCTGGAAAAAAACGACAAAAAGGAGAAAGAGTGCAGCGTCAGCAAGAGAGCTGGGATACACCACTAGTTTCCATGAGCACACAGTAACTTGCATACGGACAACTCCCCACTACACACTCACACGGACACACAAACAAGCTCCGCACAGTTCTTGTGCATGAGCTGACAAACTGTTTCCTTCCTTTTTCAGAAGCTCCGAGCCCCGTCTCGGGGCAGATAGCATTACTTCCGCCCCTTCCCCCTGTCAGGGGCCCCTGCGGGGGGGGGGGGGGGGCACTGGACGGGATGCTGGATCCTGTCCCTGCCTCCGTGTGCCAGGTCCCCATCACAGTTCATTTCACAGCCTCCTCTCTGCTCTGCTGTGCTCGGCCAAGCCTCTCAGCAGGTGTCTCTCTGCAGAAGAGTCCTGCCGCTACATTTACGTGCTGCGGCATCTCTGTAGCCGACCTCAGAAAGGCAAACTGCCTCTTCCGTACCAGAACTAACGTATTTTAATGAGCTTTGAGCTTATGAAATTACTTACATTACAGTACTATCACAGGCTATCCATCATACAGCAATCTGCTGCCTGAAAGCCGCCGATGTATAGTTTGTATTTTGATGATGGAGTAAACTTCATTTACTCAGGTATTCTCGTCACGTTCGAAGAACCTGACTATTCCTAATTTCTCTGCCTCTACCGGCTTTCACTGACTCTGCAGTAGGCTAATTCTTAAAAGACGAAGGTGTCTAAATGTAACGACTTTGGAGATAAAAGTTTGCACAGAGTACTGTCATCAAAAAGCAATCACAAAGGCACAGCTGGGCTTCTGCTGCTTTTTAACTTCCCCTTTAGACGTTAGTACACAGAGAAGGCTGGAGCGCTGACCGGCATCACCAGGGAAAAATGTAAACTTGCCTCAGAAAACCAAATCATCTCATAATTTAGCACACGTTCACATTTTTTGTGCAATTATTTTAAAAACCATAAAATAATGCCTGTATATACATGTTGAGCACTATGTTAAAGTGGTTAATAAAAATAGATTTTACACTTATGACAGTGTCGTTAATTACTATAATATTTTAGCGTCAATGATTAACTAAAGCGCAAAGGTCTTTGTTAACCTCAATGCTGATTGCCGTGCTACTACGCTCATTTCCCCTTTCAGTAAAACGTGTGATCATGTGATGACAAAGTGCGAGACAGAGGTGATGTTGACGCTGTGACAACACCACCATTACTTTCTCCTATCACGCGTCCCTCTGAGTGTGTGAATAACACAACTACATTTTCTGTTGATGAATGGAGAGAAAATGCAATTAAAGAGAGCAGGAAGCCACATAGAGTGATATAAAACTATACCCAATATTCCATATAGGCTGCTAGACAAGGATGATAGATAAAGACGGTGGTTTAAAATGTCCATTTTATTACCAGTTATCAAGGTTGCAGCTTGAGTGCTATCATTGTGTGGTAAGTATGACAGAGGATTACCAGAGAATCCCACCACAAATCTAAATCTGTATTTATTTTTCTTCCTAAGCCGGAAGATGCAGAATATAGAACTTCTGTATTGTCTGTATACTTCCTTTGTCCTGCTATCGCTTGTGGATATGGTTACCAAGGTAACATCTCTAGTGGCCTGCAATTTGAGTATGGCGTCACGTAATGTTGGCTCCATGTTACCATAGCAAATTTCTCTGTTCCCAGCAGCCTGTGTATGAGGGAGCTTATCTCATCACCACCGCAAACACTAGACTGTTAATCAGAGTTTATGGCCAATCAATATTGTGACAGCGGTTCCAGGAAAGAATTATCAATTGAATTATATTCACCTCAGCCTGCTCTTTTTGTCAATTTAAAGAGGCAAATAAACTACTACTAATAGTACTACTCCAGACAAAAATGGTGTTATTGTAAGGTTCATGAGCACAGTAGAATTACCCAAACATCATAAAAATAAACATAAAATGATTATGAAATTGAATATTTCAGCATTTCATAACATTTTAAACGTCCACCACCAAAAAGCTAAGTCATCCCAGTACTTTAAATAGAATAGCCGCTGTGCATAAGCCCAACCTAACAAGAAGCAAAGAAAGAACTTTATGCATTATACATAGTAAAAAGAGTGCAATACATTTATATCCTCATGTACTCTCCTGAAGAGATGACTTTACAAGAACGCTTAAGCACCAGCCCATATTCCGGGTTGGGAATGTATGCAGTTGGCTTTTCAAAAGAAAGTCGACAGTGTTTCACAGCAATTTCACATTATTAAAATGCATGAAGTGGACATTAATTCAAATCTTTAAAATATTCAAAGGTACAGGAATATTGACATACTGCAATATGCTACATGACGAAATTCTAGGGCTAAAAGATCAGCTTGCGCATGACGTTCGTTTTTGACGTGAACATTTTGCCTTTGGAAAAAGGTTCCTTTTGAAAAAGTGGTTTAAATAAATCCAATCAAAGCAGCAATGTGTATTATTCACACATTGATACAAAATCTAATGAAAAAAACAAGTATGACTGTCAGAGGATGCATTAATTAAGCAAATGCTGCCCTTAAAAAGAGCATGTGTATTTACATTGCCCTTTTGAAAAATGACAAAATGTACCATAGTGAAAACTGACTGTCGGGGGAAAGCAAACACAAACAGCACAGCAGTAGATAAACATATAATTTGTATGAAGCATGGCTGTCACTTTAATTGAGACGTTGACAATTGCATATTTCTTCAGTCTGTGCTGCACTAGATTGCACGAGCCAATCATAGATGTTGTGCGCTGCCATTGGCTGAGCTGTGGAGAGAGCCATGCACTGTGCTGTGAGGGGCGGGGAGGGGGGCTCTCCATCCCCTCTGCGCTCTCCCATTCAACCGCCGTAGTCAGCAGACCGAGCGGCTGAGCGGAGCTGCACAGCATCCACGGCTACAGCATCCCGCGGATGACTCCGCTCCCCGAAGGAGAGCGAGGGAGGCAAAGAGAGAAGAGGGAAGATCCACAGATGAATAGAGTCTGCAAGGAGGAGGAAACGCACAGATGGAGTAAGAGTGGGAAATGAAGGGAATTGAGTAAACACCACTGCCTGCCCGAGGACCACTGCAGCTGCACTAAATCTGGGGCTGTCAAGCCAGCCCTCAGAAAAGCAGTGAGTGAGAGAGGCAACGGAGCAGAGGGGAAAAAGAAGTGATTTAAAGAGCTGATATCATCACTCCGCAGAAGCAGCGATGGGAACCGCAAGAGCCTCTCAGTCAGCAGGTCAAACTTCACACGGGAAAAGTGCCTTCGGATCCCCGGTCTGAGTGTCTTCAGGGGAGTGAGAAAAAAAAAGGAGCGAAAAGGGAGAGTTGTCCGGGTCAGTTACAGGAAGGCGAAACCTCGCGCAGGAACAGTCAATACCACATTGCTGAGTAGAGCTTAAGTCTCTCCTGTCCACCCCCCCCCCTCCCCCTGGACCAGCCTCACACCTGCCCTGGTCCTGGTGAATGTATTCTCTGCATGCAATCCCACTGCTCGGCAGTTGAACACACTCATGGTCGATGCGAAGGGACGGAACATGAAATGTCTGACTTTTTTCTTAATGCTTCCCGAGTCGGTGAAAAGCAAGTCCAGTAAGAGCTCCAAGAAAGGGAATGCCAGTGGCAGCTCCAAGCTGGCCCCCGTCTGCTATGAGATAATCACTCTGAGGAGCAAGAAGAAGAAGAAGATGGCAGCGGATATTTTTCTCACCAAAAAGTCGGCATCCACCACCACGGTGCGACAGTACCAGCAGGAGAACCTCAACAACAACAACACATACAGAACTGTAACTGGCAAGGACTGTACTCCACTATAAGAGAAAGGTAGGTGCAACCCGCACGCAATTATACATCAATATCAACAGTGCATTAGGCCAAAGAAATCACGTTTTAATCAAACAGATACAAATTCTAATTGTCAGAAATAAAATGTATAAAGATGTACCCCATAACACTTATAAGGTAATTAACATATTACCCTTTATATTACACACTGTGTGTATGTCTATGGGTGTGCGTGTGGACGGGTGTTCCCTCTGGCCGGCCCTGACTCTGATGGTTGGGGGGGGGTTTCTCTGTTTGCCCCAGCAGACTTTGACATAAGAGAGGGCGGACAGGCACCGGGTGTGTTTGATATGCACAACAGGCAGAGGCTGCTCTGTACTAAAAGCAAAATATTTACGTTGGCCTATCAGTAAAAGCCCACCGCTGTCCAGAGCAAAATGTGTGCTTTCTGACCTGCTTTGTTGTCCCTCCAGAGTTCATGGGGCTGTTTACCCACCTCTGTGACATGTTCCACCATTCAATAATATATGAACGCAGCTTTATTGTTTGTCCTCTGCGTCCACAGTGGGGAATTTCCATTTAGTTCATTGTCTTATTTGTCTGTTTTTATGTATACATAAAGCATTGATGCGTGTGTTGTTTTAAAGCGAGTCTTTTGAAATCAATACAATGTCTTTGGTCTTGCCGGAAGCAGTTTTTTTTTTTTATACAATCGCACTACTGTTTTAAGGGTAGCAAAGAAAATATACCTGTAATGTTCTGTTTTTGCCTGAACTTCTGCCAATGGCTAATGGATTTATGTTCCTTCTTTTCAACCTATATCTGAGTTATGCTTTTTCTCCTGTTATCGTCTCTGTATAAATGTACAGTGTGTAATATGTACACTTCATTTTTCCTGATTTTTCCTTTCCTTTCCTTTTAGAAATTCCGTAATGTACAACAATGAGCTGATGGCAGATGTTCACTTTGTGGTGGGTCAGCCTGGAAGGCCCCAGCGTCTGCCAGGACACAGAGTAAGAATTTCATCCACCAGTAAAGTCACGCTAGCAGGGAGGGAATTAGCCAACAAGCAAACAAGCAATCAGCGGCGTGTCGTTCCTATCTCATCGGCATGAACATAATCTTCCTCATTGGCAGCAGGAAAGTTAAATCCTTTGTGCTCTACGCTCACTTCCGCACCATGTGTCTTTTCTAGACAGTCCTCAATTATTTATGTAAATGAGGCAGACGGACTGAGCGAAGGAGGAAGGGATGTCTTCCTCGGCAGTCATCTCACAGAGGATGGGTTGCCTTTGTCTCCGCTTTGGTTCAGCTTTTCACAAACACAGCTCTGCAATTACAACTTTTCATGGAAGCCGTCTAACAGCACAGTTACAACGATAAGGCACAGAGTAATGTGCATTCAACTCTGCATCACTTCTTGGAAATACATTTGTACTCGTTTAGTTGATTGGCTTTTGAAATCCGAATTGGAAGCGCAATGAGTGTGCTATAAATAGCTTTTTATCAAAATTAGGCCCTCTTCATTCAGTTGGTGCCAGTTGTGAAAAGCTTCTTTCTTTAGTCCTCTGACTCATTGCCCTTTCCCAAAGTGTTTGCATACAGTAAGTGGTCAAGGTTTATAGTTGCCTAGACCATGAGCCTCACATTAAGTGTACTCTGCCTGAATATAATTCCAATATTCTCCTTAAATCTGACAAATCATTGTGCAGAGACACAATGACCAACATGATCGGAAGCTACAGCGCACTTCCCCGGTGCCTTTATAGAAAGCAGTCATAGAAGGACATTGAGAATGATGTAACTGCACTTTATGCTGAGACATTATACCGATGAGGAATAATGACGTTCACCGCTGGAATCTTTATTGTGTCCATTTGGCAAGAACCCGGATTTGCTTTATGATTTAATTTACAAAGCAATCAACCGACAAGATGGAGGATTCTCATACATCTAAAAGCAAAAATCAATGTTAACACCTGTAAAATACAAGGGGTCAACCGGAGGCACTAATCCTGGTTAAATATGCAGTTCATACTTGTTATTCAATATACCTAGTTTGTAACATCAACAACAACAGCATTGTTTACAAAAACCCTCTTTTGAGAGGTTTATTTTAGATTGAATTCACCCCGATTTTAAGAGAAGGTCTGTGTGCCTTTTTGGAGAAAATGCATACCACCCACATACACACCCACACATACTTGTGCAGCAAACACACACACAGTGCAGGCATGCACACACTAAAACATGCATGTCCTCGAGTATAATAGCAGTTCATAGTCTTGTATACAACGCTTTATTTTGGAATGATTAGCAGCATTGTGTTGCATCTGATTTCATCATGAGTTCAGACAAGTCATTAATTTCAGTAAGTTGAACTTTTGCTGCACTTGGTTCAGTTGTGTTATTCAGATTTCCTGTTTTTTTCAGAGGCAGTCTTGTTCATTAGAAATCTGTCTCCCCGTCCTCAGGGGAAATAGTAACTGGCTGAGCTCTGCTCATTATGTGAGAAACTCAACAGGTTTAGTCTCCACTGATTGGAATGAGGCATTGTTCGATTACCATGAAGTGATTTGAGTCTTTATGTAAAGGTTAATGAATTGGATATAGTATAATTCATATTTCCCACCAAATGTTACTACGGGTCATCTGATTTCTAGGGAAATCACAGATAAACTACAGTATGTTTCCTTCTCCCATTTTGTTTTCTCTTCTTTTTCCAACAGTACGTTTTAGCGGTGGGCAGCTCAGTGTTCCACGCCATGTTTTATGGCGAACTGGCGGAGAACGACGATGAAATCATTATTCCAGATGTGGAACCAGCAGCATTTCTGGCGATGCTGAAGTAAGGATTTTTCTCTCTTACGTCCGAGACTTCCTTCAACCAACACCGTTTATGTGCGTCCTTTGAGTCATTGTTACGTTCAACTGCTACTTTAATTTGATGTCGGTGTGACAAAACAAGGTTTAATGAAACTATTCCAAGCCTTTCTAGGACGCATCTTCTACAAACTCGTTTGTAATACAAATGAAGTGTTTTTTCCTCTATCTGAGTTATATAACATATATGTCTATTTTCATCTGATTCTCCTCACTATTCTTCACAATTAGTCCCTTCCTCCATCCTACTTGATGTTCCTCCTTGGTAGGTGGTGAGGATGTAGGAGGAAGGCTATATGTATCGATTTGTTTGCACAATGGTCTCACTCGGTTTAGAATCTCATGTTATATCATTCTGCTTTAACCATTCAGCAAAATAGTTCAAATTATTACATTTTTCAGTTGAGAAAATCACATTTTTTAATGTCAACAGGTACATCTACTGTGATGAGATTGACCTGAGTGCGGACACAGTGTTGGCCACTCTTTATGCTGCCAAGAAGTACATTGTCCCTCATCTGGCACGTGCGTGCGTCAACTTCCTGGAAACCAGCCTGAGTGCCAAGAACGCCTGTGTGTTACTCTCGCAGAGCTGCCTGTTTGAGGAGCCGGAGCTGACACAGCGCTGCTGGGAGGTGATTGATGCCCAGGCAGAGCTGGCGTTACGCTCGGAGGGTTTCTGCGACATCGACACCCAGACGCTGGAGAGTATCCTGCAGCGAGAGACACTCAATGCTAAAGAGATAGTGGTATTTGAGGCGGCGCTCAACTGGGCCGAGGCTGAGTGCCAGAGACGGGACCTCACGTCGTCGACTGACAACAGGCGTAAGGTCCTGGGCAAGGCCATGTACCTGATACGCATTCCTACGATGGCTCTTGACGATTTTGCCAACGGAGCGGCCCAGTCGGGCGTGTTGACGCTTAACGAGACCAACGACATCTTCCTGTGGTACACGGCGGCCAAGAAGCCCGAGATGCAGTTCGTCAGCATGCCTAGGAAGGGCCTTTCACCCCAGCGCTGCCACAGATTCCAGTCCTGTGCCTACCGAAGCAATCAGTGGCGCTACCGGGGCCGCTGTGACAGCATACAGTTTGCAGTGGATAAAAGAGTATTTATCGCTGGGTTTGGACTGTATGGATCGAGCTGTGGCTCAGCAGAGTACAGTGCCAAGATCGAGTTGAAACGTCAAGGCGTACTGCTGGGACAAAACCTCAGCAAATACTTCTCCGATGGTTCCAGCAACACCTTCCCAGTGTGTTTTGAGTATCCGGTGCAGATTGAGGCGGACACGTTCTACACGGCCAGCGTGGTTCTGGATGGAAATGAGCTCAGCTACTTTGGACAGGAAGGGATGACAGAGGTGCAGTGTGGAAAAGTGACATTTCAGTTCCAGTGCTCCTCAGACAGCACTAATGGCACCGGGGTGCAGGGGGGACAGATTCCTGAGCTCATCTTCTACGCTTGAGATCCCCCGTGCTCACATTTTACTGACTTTCAGTGCACTTATGGAAAATAGAAAATTATCACTTTGTGCATAGTGTCACTTTCTGGTGTGTTCTTCAATTGTGTCACAATTGTGCAAAAAAGAAAAAATACACATTTTGACACCTGTGATAGGTTCTCGTGTGGTTTTGATTTCGCTAACTGGTCCACTTGAGTAGGACCAGATAAATGTCTCAAGATGTTGGTTCATCGAATACGTGGATCAACAAAAGTCTTAAAAGATGAAATATCTTGCACTAGATATGCAGGTATATATATGCATATATGTATATGGTGCCACAATTGTGGCCAACACAGGTCACAAAGATGTATGATGAATATGCTACAGTATGTTTATTATTTCTATGCTTGCATAGGATGCACATACAGTATTTAGCAGCCATATTTCACATTCTACATTCTTCGATTTCACGCCATGACTCGGTCTGGACCATCAGCATTACAAAAGAAGAGGAAGAAGGCAGTCTGACACTACGAACATAAAACATTTGTATTTGAGTGGTTTCAACTCAATCTGCAGCTTTTTGATACTTTGAATCTAGTATTAGAGGCGGTTTCAGGGGTCTTAGATTAGGGGGCACTAGGTATAACGAAACACATAAACCATAGAGCATCTGTCTCTGTAGCATGTTGACCTACACTCATACCGGTCCCCCCAGTGAGGTTTCATTTAGATCAGTGTCATTATGTTTACAGTGCAATTCTACTTAAAGTGATCACCATTCAACACGTCTGTCTGCATTGCAGAACCTGCAGCATGGCCAGAACTTCCATTTCAGCTTACAGTTTTACTAATTGTTTGCGAGTCTTGGTTTTGTTCACAGCAAAAGGTTGTTTCGCTTGTGGAGAATTTCTCGTTGTTAAAAGCTCTGAGCACTCCCTTGCAATGTGATCCCATCCAGTATCAGTATTTTCTTACTGTATATGCTATAGAATTGCATTGATTTTGGTTAATGATCCAATAGTATTATGCCTTACTGGTTTGTTTTAATGGGGCAGATTATCTTTGATTTTCCGTGGTATGAATCTTTTTTTCTGGTCTAGGATAAAAATCCACAGACTTGTCTGCTGATGAAAACAAATGGGCGAACTGGTGTTCATGTCCTGTGTTTACGTGCTACAGTGATGGGGAGACCAACGAATGTGTATGATTGTTGATGATGCAAATAAACAAAACAAGTGGAACATATTCTTTGTTCATACAATTTGTAAAATGTGACAACGCTACATACTTTTTCTGAAATAAGGAGATGGGGACTGATGGTTTTGCAAAGCTCTCAAGACATTGAGGTCCTGGCAAACTCTCTCTACAAACTTAAATTTTTTATAGACTGCAGTCATGAAGAATGTCTCCATTGCATGGGGCCATCACGTGTTTCGAGAGTGAGCGAGAGCATCTAATGCCACCTTGAGCAGCTAAAACACCATGAAGGTGTAATTCCCAGCATACCACACTGTTTGAGCCAGCTCTGTCCTGTTTAGTCTCTCAAGCAAATACAAGAAAATTATGTCTACTCTTTTCATATATTTGATAAAGTTACAATTTTTAATCATAGACACAATTGCTCAAGCAGTGCCAAAACAACGGAACGATGGAACCAGGACACTTAACACATATTTTTTGCCTGATATGTATTGTACAAAACTCCAAAACAGGATGATGTCATTTACTGAATCTCGGGACAAATCGTATTTCTTGGTGAACAGGTAATCACTCCGGGGGCCTTATGGCAGATACTTGATTACCAAGACACTCAATAACACTGAGACCAAGTTTGACATCCCCAAACAGCATGAAGCTCTTGATGAATTGACTCCAATATGTTGGCCGACTTGGTGCTTCAGTGCGATTTTTCATGACGCTAATGTTGTAAGCAAGATCATTAATTGCACTGGAGGCGGCGGGGGAATAGAATTGAAATAGAAATGTGCCAGGAGTCTGAAGCCGGCCGGCTTTTAACAGGCACATAGAGACACACTTTTTTTTTTTAATAAACGTAACTGGTCCATGGCGACAAACTATAATTAGGATACAGCTTGGATACAGTGAGACAACCCACGCAGGGGTTACTTAATAATACACACTTCTATCATCTCTGAAGCAAAAACAAAGAACATTCTTAATTTATTTTTTCCTCAACAATTGCCACGGAAACCTATGGACATGAAACTCTTTTGTATTGGTGACATTTAGCTCAGAAGGCAACTCAGCCCAAACTGTGCTGGAAACAGCTCTGCGTGGAGAAGAAAAATAACTGTTGGATTAATAATAATAATAATTGCTAGACTTCAATCAGTTCTGTTAGAAGCTTCCACCACTTGCCGTCACATCGTAAATATTCGTCTTTGAAATTTTGTGAGTCACTATGTGTTATATTTAACGTGTATTGTGGCTGTACGTGGCTATATTTTGTTAAAACAAAATATTTTTTTATGGAAAAAAGAGAAAGGGAAAAATTGTGGTACGTGATTTTGATGTTATGAAATGTAATTAAATCCAATGGAGCTACGAATAAAACGCATGGCCAGGCACTTAATTATAGGAAGTTTGTCAGTTAGGGGAAACATGAGACCATGCATTAATTACGAGGAAGTCGCCGTGGTGGTGATATTTTTATCCAAATGCTAAATGAAATGTTGAATATCTTATTATATCCTATTTTTTCAGGATTGCTCACTCACATTTACACTGCCGACATCGTATTTGCTTTTACCACTAAAGTTTTGATATATAATTTAGAGTAAAGAGGAAGATGACATGAAATATTCATTATTAATTTGCATTAATCTGAAATGTGACTTCCTACAAAACGTAGACAAGCTTTGCAATAAACATATGATTTAGTTAGGAAAGGAAAAAGGGCAAACAGGGTTGTTGGATACTGATAGATATTGGGACAATTTGACCCTGTCGTATTGGGGGTATAGTTACTATTCAATGCACATTAAGGTTAAAAACATTCAGTACGACTTGGGGGAAGACTGCAGATTAGCAGTGATCGACTGTATTAATTGCAGATAAGTCTGGGTAAAAAGACTAAAAGGTGCTACATCTCAGGATGATGTTTCCTTACTCTGTGGTCATCACGCTACACAAACAATCACACCACTGACTACTGTGAGTTTAAGGTACTGAGTTTAACAGGATAATAACAAGAAAAAAAAGCAAGACACGGAAAAGAAAATAAAGATGGGCCACATGCGGTTGATTTATCAAACATTACTTTGTTCACTGCAATGAAAGATGTATGGACCAATCCTTTTTGTAAAATTGTTACATGTCTTAAAGAATATTCTCTGGCTTTTTTTATTTTTATTTTACATCCACTCCTCAACATTCTGATGATTTCCATCCGAGCAAAGTCTCATTAAATGAATAATGGCCAAAAGGCGTGCAAAATACAGCTGTTGGTTTTAATGAATTCTCAAAGAAAATAATTTTAAATGTTCTTTTAATTCAACAAATCTCAAAGGAAATCTCAAAGCCCTCTTCCCCTTCCTCCCCTTAAACCATATGTTTTCTCTAAAGGTGTACACATCTCTGTGCAGCATTGTAGACTGGTGCAATTTAAGGAGCAATATGGGAGCATCTGGCAAGGGCTGCTGAAGGTTACGTTGAATTTCTGTAATCCTGACAGATGCGAGGGTATCTGAGCTTCCCGGGAAGCCAGTCGAGCAGGAACAAGGCAGGAGGTCAGAGGAGAATGGAACGGGGGAGGGCAGACGTAAGTGTGGTCCGACTAGTATGCAGGTGAAGAATCCGTTCCCTTGAGAATTATCACATAGATTATTAGCGGACAGTCATGGTGGCAATTAATTACACGTTAGAATGGCAAAAGGTTACAAAGTGCAGATGCAAAGTTCGGAGAGGGAATGGGTGGGGGGGGGGGGTTGTGGGAAATGGCAAGGAGTTTGACTGATGATAGCCACCTTCATTTCTTTGTCGTCCTCATTTACACAGCGCTAGCAAAGACCTGCAAAATGTAAGGGATATTATTCCAAATAATCTCCCACCTCAGATGTGGCCTCCAGTCGGGTGCGGTTGGGATGCACTGCGGGATGGAGCCTGTTATTGTGTGTCTCATTTATCTATTTATTTATTCATTGCTACCAGGCGCAGCTAAATCGTTTCAACGGGCTGGGACATTGAAAGGCCAGCTTTTATGTTAGATTAGCCTGTTTATAGCGATGCTGCTCAGCTCCACATGGATCAATATGGCTGGGATTTCTTGATCAGGTGTATCAGGTGTATTATGATTGCTGAAAAGAGTGGAAATACGCTTCTTGGTGGACAATGGGAGCTGCCGAGCCGATACAAAACATCCAAAAAACATAGTAAATAATATTACCTTATGTATTACCAATAGAGCAGAAGTAAATACCCTGTTTGTCCAGTGAAATACAATCCCAGAAGGTATATGAATGCAAAGAGTAGTTCTCTCACACACGCCCAAGGCCGAATTTGTTGGTGATGCGTTATGCTAATCATGCTATTTATTTCCAGAACCAAGGTATCGTATACCTGTCACCCACAGCCATTACGGCAAGACTTGATCAAAACCTTGAAGGCTGGCAGCTTCCCAGTGAGAGAGGGGATGAGGACTGAGCATCCTACTGTTTGTATGTGCTCTAGAGCCTCTATTCATTCTGAAGCATGTCCTCTAAGGCAGCTCCATGTCTTTGATAGTACGGAGTGAGAGGGCTTTTCTCTCCCCAGGGTCTGATATAATGAGGGCGAGCTTACTAAACATGATTTGCTGCTCTCTCAAATAAGATACTCGAAACAGCTTGAGCCTGAAACAGTACAACAAGCAGCACTGATTCATTTGTACACATGCTCTCTCTCCCTCTCGCTCGCTCTGTGCGCTGTATGAGCAAGGGCTAATGTGTTTTAATGCGTTGTGGAGATGGAGAAACAGCACAGAGAGGCGACGGCGTACGGCTCTGTGGGCATTCATTCAGGACACGAACACCAAAAATGGGGTTTGAAATTTAATTATTTCCTGTAAGCACGGAAAAAATGTGAAGAGAGATTTTTAAATGATTGTGATTGGCATTAGCAAACATGAATAGAAGTCAGGACGTTGCATCTAGGATCTTGGCAGCGGGGAGACAAAGACAATACACTGAGAACAAGGTATTTCTTTAGTCAAACAAATCAGAAGTTTCAACTAGACTGCAAGGCAGCCCAATTTAACAATGCTACATAGATTGAGGCAGCTCCTGACCTTCAGAAAGGGGATTTTGATTTGCTTATGTAGTTACCCGTAAAATGACCATTTTACCACAAGGAGTGGGCAGTATAATAACATCTATTGTGGAGGGACATTGTGCCCATGTTCTCTAAAAATCATACTGAGCTCCACCAGCCTGTTTTTATGTCCTACTTACCACAGGAAAATAAAACAGTCACTGTAGCCAAAAGTTGATGCAATTAGCATCGTACAAAAATGCATTGCCTTGGCGATTCTGTCTGAATGCATACTCTAAAAGTTGGAGTCACACAATTCATTATAACTTTAAAGCAGTTAATGCATGTTCAATCAAAAAAGGGATTGGGAGTAATACGCCTGAATTTCCAGCAGGCGCCATTTCCTTAATCTGTCCACATAAATATTATCGCGGCTGTACGATCTCAGTCTAATTGTCAAGCTGAATAAGATGTGGGTGAGGATCATTTCTCATCTTAACATGAACTGAAATAATTAGCTACAGCTCTCTCAACTGTCAGTGAGAAAGACAGTTTTCAGAAGTTATTTTGCTCCGTCCATTCAGATAAAAGAATATATCAGCAAAGGTAACGTCAAATGATTGCACATTAGCTGTAAAATGTAAGACAGATGTCTTGTCTAATTGGCAGGTCAATATTTTGAACCTTTAAATCACTTGAGAGATTTGTAGGAGCTGCCGTCATTCTTTATCTGACCTAACTAAATCTCTACCTGCGTGTCCTTCTTTGAGTCGAGGCCCAAACTATTCCCTTACTGCCCTCAATAATGGCCTCAATTTAAGCTTCACCTTGCCTTACCTTCCCCTTATTTTCATTTCCCTTTGAGATACCAAAGCTTTTCTGGCTCTGAGCCGCTGGAAATAATCGCAGTACATGAGATGAATAAGAAACGTAGTGGGGGGTTTTTTGTGAACTTTTTCTTTGACTTGGTGTGTTTTGTATTCTTGCACAGACTGTTT